TCTGATCCGATGTACCTCCTTCCTCTCCCGCCAGGAAAACGGTTGCCTGCTACCCCTTAACCAATTGTTCCTATCAATGAAATAATGCTCAATCAGCACATCCTCCCGCCCCACCATTTGTAGTCTCCCCACTTGCTCCCATTGCCCTGGGAGTCCCACCCAATCCCCTTCCTCCAGGCACGGGCCTCTCCGTAGGATGGCGTACCACGCCAGTGGGAAACTTTCCATCAGCTCTTCTAGTGCAGATTCCGTCAGGTGACAGTATCGCAGCCCCTTCCGTAGTCTGGCCGCGCTCTTCCAATCCTTGGCTTCATTATCCAAAAGATCCCCCACTCTTAAGGCCCCGTGCTTCACCCATCCCTTCCACGGAGGATCTGAGTTGCATCTCACTTGGTCGTGGCAATCTGTGATCCATCTATTACCGAACAAGGGTTACCTCATTACTTCATCCCACCTTTCCGGTGGTGGCCGGTCGGGGATTGGGAGTCTCCTCCATGTCCGGATGAGGCGTGGCCAGTATTCATCTACTGGGTCACCGTTTCTGGACTTTCGTGGATCTTCCAGCATCTGTCCTCCAGCCACATCAACGGGTCAATCTCTGGTGGGGCTTCGGGGGCTAAAGCCGCAATTTGCTCCAGGGCTAAGGGGGTCCAGGGGGAGGTAGGTGAGAAAATGAGATGTTGAAGCCATCGTAGACTAAGGGCCTGAAATTGTGTCGACGGGTCGATAATCCCCAGTCCTCCCCCAACCTTGGGTTGGATCACTGAATCCCATGCTACCCTACTGATGGCGTGGTTATTCTCGCTATCCCCTCTCCACAGAAAGGCTGCCAGCTTCCGCTTAAGGGCTTTCAGCTCCCTGGCACTCACCGACCATAAAACAAATTTATACCATAAGGTGGCTAGTACCACGTTGTTAATGACTAAAGTCCGTCCCAGGAGTGATGTATGCTTCTTGTCCCACCCCGTTAGTTTGGTCTGGGTCGGGGAGACTAGCCAATTATCATTTGTATTAGGCTTTCCTTTTGCTGTAACTGACACCCCCAAAGTCCTAAGGGGCATCGAGGGGCAGCCAGGTGATTCGCGGATTTTCGAGGGGCCTTCCTTCTTGGTGATGCATCCACCAACCAACTGTTTTCTATCCCCAGTTGACTGCCATATCCGAGAGCCTACAGAATCGTGCCATTAGTGCTTGGATTTCTTTCATGTTCCGTTCACTGGCTTCCACCATTACAGTAAGGTTGTCTGCAAACAAGGAGCAGATTGGTATAGCCTCCTCTGGTATGTTTGCGATTCAGATGCGTGTGAGGTCTTTGTTATGTCTCAGGTTAGCTGATAGTGCCTCCATTATGACCAAGAACAGATAAGGGGCAATGGGGTCTTCTTGTCTTACCGAACGCTGGAGCCCAAATGGGGGTGCTACGGACCCGTTCACCTGCACACATGTCGTAGCATTCTTGTGCAGGATTCGAATCCATCGGCAAAAATCTGGGCCAAAGTTCATCCTTTCCAGGCATTTTTCCAGGAACGCCCAGTCCACATGGTCGTATGCCTTTTCAAAGTCAATAAATATAATAACAGCGTTAGCTCTATTCCGTCGGGACAAGCTGACCACTTCATTTACCGGCAGGATGTTTTCTTGTATGTTCCTGCTAACTATGAGGACATTAACAATTTGTCATCCAAAAGATTGAAAATAAATGAAGACTGGAATGTGCGTCGAATCTCAGGTCGGCAGTAGGCTGGAATGAAAGACTTTGGCAACGTGTCTCATCAGGTCAAAACTGAGGTTGTCCGACTACCATGTTGGCAGCATCAATGTTATTTTTGATAACCAACTCCTTGTTGGCGGTTGTATGATTGTTTTGTGATATTCGACCTGAGGCGGTCGGATTGTATTTTGATCTTGTGATAATGGATGTATTAAATGAAGATCTGATTTATTTTAGTTATTATTTTAGATTGGGCACATCGTTCTATCGACTACGTTCGATTCCTTTCGATGTAACTATGTATGGTCGTTACAACTTCCCTTTGATTGTGTGTTAAAAGGACTAGGATTAATGTTGGGTTTCACGCTTGGTTGAGACCGTCCTAGTCGACCGACGTCCGCTCCGTACCTAAGAGATCAGCGCCCTAGGAAAGGACAGCGTTCGGGTTCGCTTGGCGTTAACCAAGCGTATCTATACTACAGCGAACGAACAAACGCCCTCGGCTGACCTACCTCTGCAAGTGCATCTAAAGCTTTCGCACGTGGGTCAGTAGCTCGGTAGGGATACGCCCCTAAGGGTGGTGACAACCCCTTAGGGAAGGAAAGCTTATGCCCCACGGGAACCTATCCTGTCGTAGGGGACCGCGGGATGTACAGCTGCCGCACTCGGCTAGAGCGGCAACGGGACGACGCGACTGCAGCCGTCTCGGCGGCTCGCAGGATTATTATGCGTCGTTCCTGAGTTGTCTCTTGGTTTTGTTTTGTTTATCTCCTGCGTGACATGGCCGGGAGGGCTCTCGCCTTTGCGAAAAAGGCGGGAGCCGATGCGCTCGATAGCGGGACCTCTTCCGCGGTTTGCGGGATGTACAGCTGGCGCACCCGGCTAGAGCAGCGACGGGACGACGCGACAGCGGCCGTCTCGGCGGCTCGCGGGATTACTATGCGTCGTTCCTGAGTTGTCTCTTGGTTTTGTTTTGTTTATCTCCTGCGTGACATGGCCGGGAGGGCTCTCGCCTTTGCGAAACAAGCGGGAGCCGATGCGCTCGACAGCGGGACCTCTTCCGCGGATTGACGACCTTCTCGAGCGTTTGGGCGGCGCAAAATTCTTCTCGAAGTTGGACTTAAAGTCGGGCTATCACCAAATCTCGATCTGCCCGCAATTAGTTTGGGCGGCTCAAAATTCTTTTCGAAGTTGCACTAAAATTCTTCTCAAAGTTGGACTTAAAGTCGGGCTATCACCAAATCTTGAAGTTGGCCTTAAAGACCTGGAAAAAGTTAAAGAGAACATTAGTAAGGCACAACATCAAATGATAGAACAGGCTAACAAACATCGTAGACCCTCACAATTTGCTGTAGACGATCTAGTCTGGGTGAAATCAAAAGAGTTTCTCCCTGAGGAGAACATTTCTCAAAAGTTATTACCTGCTTATCGAGGACCCTGGCAGATTCTTGATGTGATAGGTGACGTTGATGGTCTTTCCTATGTTGTTGAGATTCCTCCACATTTGCACACGTATCCGGTGTTCCACACTTCAAAGTTATTGCCTTGAGTTAGTAATGACATGTTTCCATCGCGCAGATCTATGATTCCCCCTGATGTGGATGGTAAGTATGATGTGGATAGAATTCTTGGGGAAAATGTTTACAGATCTGGACGCAGGGGTAGACCACAGCGACAATATAAGGTCAGATTTGCCTATCAAGAACCTACAGAAGATCGCTGGTTCAAGAGAGATGAACTAATAGAAACAGCACCGCATATTGTGTCATACTATGAAAGAGCTAAGAGAGGATTTAACATAGTAGATAGATAAAATTGGTAATTTTCTCGGAGGACCTCGAAATTAGGCCGGCGAGAGTGAAAGGCCTTCCACGATTCAAACCCCAAATTCGGATCTCAGGGTCCGATCCCCAAGTCAAGAAAAGGCCGAGTTTGTCAAACTCAGAAAAGTCACAATCGGGTACCTCAGCAGTCTGGTCCAACAGGCACCCAGCAAACAGTCACGTCTCAGGAACAAAAGTCATGTCTCAAAATAAAAGCCATTCAGAAGAGTCATATCCCACGAGTGGAAAGGCAGATTCACTAAGCAAGAGTCATGTCTCAAAGGCAGGAGTCACGTTTCCTAATGAAAAGTCATATTGAAGAGTCACATCCCACGAGTAAAAGGCAGTATCACAGGCAGAAGTCGTGACCCACAGGCAGGAGTCACTGTCCACAGTCCAAAGTCAGATTCACAAGTGAAAAGTCATGACTCAAGCAGTCCAATGGAAGTTCGGGAAGGTTCCAGGCCTTGACATTGAGAAGCAGACAGGCCGTGGGGATGTGGTACCGGAACCAGTCAGGACCCAAGAAACAAAGGCTGGCACGAGTTGAAGTGCAAACCAAGACTACAAAAGGACTGGTCAGCCTCACATTCGGGCAGATTGCTCATTCGCAAAGAGTGTGGAAGTGCTGGTGCACTTGTGCGCTAATGTGAGGAGCCGAGCGCTGAGGCCAGAGTGCTGCGCTAAGTGAGGGAGAGAGGAGAAGATAGTGCTGGCAGGAAGAAGGCAGCCATAGCTGTGCCAGTGCAGAAGTGTTAGTGCTAGTTGTTAGTAGTAGACTCCAGAGCGGTTAGTGGAGTTGACAGTTGGTGTATTCAGAGTAGATTCTTGAGTAGTATTAGTGTGTGTGCACGTATGTAGTGAGAGAAGACTCAGCGAGGACATAGCTAGGGAGAAGACCAATAAGGAGGGGAGATACAAGAGGGAGAAGAGCAGCGGGAGAAGAGAATCTTACCTGAGAGTTTGTGCTGGATATTGGTTACCTTTGACATGCGCTGATGAGCGCTGGTGACTTGGAACTCTTATTGCTCTTGTGTAACTCGTTGGAATTCATAAGCTGCGCTATCTGGTCTTAATCTCTCTGGTTTATCAGTGTGAACTTCGTGTGATCTCATACATGCTTGTGGTGTGAATATGTGCACTCAATGGTACTGTGAGGTTCGTTGCAAAATAGGTAAACCACACAAAAATTCAAACCAACTGTCTGGAGGAGTTAAAAAGGCTGCGATTAAGACTGAGAAAAAGAGAAAAGAATGGAGATTTTTGATACAGTTTTTTACTGAAATACGATTTGATTCGCATTTGAAGTAGTTGAAGTTAGGCGAAATCCTGACAGAGAGAATATTTCTTCACGCCACAGACCATGCAAAAACAGCACAAACACTCTTACACATGCATAGCATGACGAAACATAGCTCCTGAAATTCCTCGAGTGAACTTGCACAGTGTTGCCTGCTCAGAATTACCTGCAGATCTTGCGCCAATATCCAGATGACAAATGTCATATTGCACTGTCACAGGAATCAGATGAAACAAGAGATGAGATGACGTTGATGTCATACAGCAAAACAGCAATATGAATGAAAAACAAAACAGAAAAATTCAAAACTGTGATGAACCCGTTCCTTGAAGCTCATGTCACACAACAAGACAATGAGAAGAAGAAGAAGAGAGAGAACAGGCTCCAGCACATAATCGATGCATAGGCTCCGCCCACTTCCACTCCAAGTCTTCTTCCTCCCTGTCTCCACCTCACCATCTCCTTATCGCAACATCTAATCCTGGCAACCTTCCACTCTCAAAAACACCACCTCGCCAGAGCTTGATGTCACACTCCACGACGATTCTCTGTGGCGCTATCTAGGCCAGTGCAACCACTACCAGCACTGAGCATGGCAATATTCTGAAGCAGTGCAGTGCACTCTCACCTCAATCGCAATGGCACCAGCAGGTAAGTAAGTATCAGGCAAACTTCTCTTTTGACAGGATGTGCCTTCTCCACAGGCTATGACCGCTCACTCCCTCTCCTCTCAGATATGGTCTGGTGGCACCTTCTCCTACCTAGCTATACCTGCCACTCTTTGTCTCCCTCCCTCCCTCACTCACTCTCTCAATCAAGTTTTACAAACAAATTCAACCTCCTGGTTTGGATCTGGTGCCCGGCTCTGCAGCATCCATGCTTTCAGCAAGTTGAAATATGATGACGACAGCAACTACCATAATGAGGATAATGATGGCGGCGGCACTGGGGACAATAACTCGGCGAACCAATCATCAGTCAGAATCAGCCAAATCAAACAACTGCAAGGTGTCACATCTATGGCTCATGTGAGACAGTACGTAAACAGGTTCCTCCTTATATCTGGGAAGTACGATTTTGCAAGATCGTATTGAGCGAGACATGCATAAGAAACGATTGTCCATCTAAAAATCAAACAGAAACACCTGTGACAGGCCAAAAAACACGTATCCTCTACCCAAAATAGAAACAAACAGAGACAATCACAAACCGAACAAACCAAACCAGATCAGACAAAACCAAACCAAATCGAACCACACACACACACACACACACACACACACACACACACACACAGAGAGAGAGAGAGAGAGAGAGAGAGAGAGAGAGAGAGAGAGAGAGAGAG